CTGCTGGTGCCCCCTGTGGCCTGCTGGTCCGTGGACACCCCTGGTGACCACCCTCATTGATCCCCCACTTGTCGTTAATTTCTGGTCCCCAACAACCCCTCACTGGTCCCCACACTGACTGGGCGGGCAGACCCCCATTTGGCCCAGAGCCTCCCCAGCAGAGGAGGGGCAGGGGGAAGAGATGTGCATACACACACCTGTGCACCTCTGCACACACTTGCATCCACCTACACGCATCTGCACACATCTACATACACCTGTATGTGCACCTCTGCACACACCTGCACACATCTGCATATCCACCTGCACACATCCGCACACAAGTATCTGCACACACCTACATACACCTGTGTACATCTGTACACACCTGCATACATCTGCACATTTGCACACACCTGCATCCACTTGCACGCATCTGCACACATCTACATACATCTGTGTGCCTCTGCACACACCTCTACACACCTACACATCCACCTGCACACACCTGTGCATCCACCTGCACACATCTACACACACCTGTGTACAACTGCACACACTTACACCTGTGCACATCTGCACATCCACATAAACCTATATACATCTGTACACACCTGCGCATGCCTGCGTACACCTGCATGTCTCCATCATCAGTACACGCCCTCACATGCTTGCACCCATCTGCACATGCCTGTGGGGTGTGCACACATGTGCTAACACCCACATGTCTGTGTGTGCAGGCCCGCAGCCTTCAGGCTGTGCCCAGGCTGGTGAAGCTCTTCAACCATGCCAACCAGGAGGTGCAGCGCCATGCCACGGGTGCCATGCGCAACCTCATCTACGACAACGCGGACAATAAGCTGGCCCTCGTGGAGGAGAATGGCATCTTCGAGCTGCTGCGCACGCTGCGCGAGCATGACGATGAGCTGCGCAAGAACGTCACAGGTGCCCTGCGACCCCACGCCTTCCCTTTCTCCATTCTGTTTTCCTCATCCCCCCTTCCACTGGTCCCCACGACTGTTCCTGTGGCACGTGTCTGCAGCTAGCTTCCAGCCCCCAGGCCCTGTGTCCCCAAGCACTGTCTTGCTGCTGTGTCACAGCCCTGTGACCTGCAGGTCGCAGGCTGGCTCTCTCCATGGGGCTCTTGCGTGAGGCTCCAAATGCCAGGTGGGGCCCTAGGAGAGGCTGGGAGCCTCATCCCCACCCTCCCTGAAGGAGCTGGGGCGGGGGGGCTAGTGGGCTATCGCTGACCATGGCCACGGCCGCTCCTGCCCCAGGGATCCTGTGGAACCTGTCCTCCAGTGACCATCTGAAGGACCGCCTGGCCAGGGACACACTGGAACAACTCACAGACCTGGTGCTAAGCCCCCTCTCGGGGGCCGGGGGACCACCCCTCATCCAGCAGAATGCCTCTGAGGCTGAAATCTTCTACAATGCCACGGGCTTCCTCAGGTGTGCTGGGTGAGGGGGCAGCGAGCTGGGAGAGGCCAAGACGGTGGCCATGGGGAAAGAACTGGGTGCCTGGAAGGGGGAGGGGAGGCCTGGAGAAGGGGGATGTTGAGTGCCAGGTCTGAGTGGCAAGGCGGAGCTGGCCAGGGCGGCTGCAGAAGCAGACAGGCCACGCCAGGTATGGGTGCTGGCACAGAAGTGGGACAGCAGCTGGGCATGGCTGACTCGTCGGTTGGCAACAGGCCCTGGGGGCTGCAAGCTCAGGTTTCGTTAAATCATAACCTCCGCTCTGGACTTGGAAGGGTGGATGGGGGATGGGCAGGCAGAGGAGCAGCAAGTGCCAAGGAGTGGGGCCCAGTTCAGGGGAAGGAGGTGACTGGGGGCCAGGGGCTCGCCCCTCGGGTTGGGTTCCCACCGGGGGGTCTCTGGTCTGCCTCCATCCACAGGAACCTCAGCTCAGCTTCCCAGGCCACTCGACAGAAGATGCGTGAGTGCCATGGGCTGGTGGACGCCCTGGTCACCTACATCAACCACGCCCTTGACGTGGGCAAGTGTGAGGACAAGGTGAGGGGCGGCCATTGCCAAAAGGTCCTGGGGGGTTCTGGCCCACTCTGACCATGGTCCGCCCTCTGCAGAGTGTGGAGAACGCAGTGTGCGTGCTGAGGAACCTGTCCTACCGCCTGTATGATGAGATGCCGCCATCTGCCCTGCAGCGGCTCGAGGGCCGGGGCCGCAGGGACACAGCTGGGGCGCCGCCCAGTGAGGTGGTGGGCTGCTTCACGCCTCAGAGCCGGAGGCTTCGAGAGGTGGGCACAGGCCTGGGCAGCTGGGGGCAGGGCCCCTGGCCTGAGCCCAGCTGACCCTCCACACCTCCCACCCAGCTGCCCCTCACGGCCGATGCACTGACCTTCGCCGAGGTGTCTAAGGACCCCAAGGGTCTCGAGTGGCTGTGGAGCCCCCAGATCGTGGGGCTGTACAACCGGCTGCTGCAGCGCTGTGAACTCAACCCACACACCACCGAGGCAGCCGCGGGGGCGCTGCAGAACATCACCGCGGGCGACCGCAGGGTGAGGACCCATGTTGCCCTGGGGACACGACGGGGAATGAGAAGAGTGAGGAGCTCTCTAGCTCAGTCTGTTGGGGCAGGACGACACACCCAGGAGGAGGAGCCAAAGCCCAAGAGGGAGGGACAGGACATGCAGCCAGAGGTGTGAGGGGCCGGGGACAGAAGGGACAGCCGGGAGTGTGAGGCCAGTGTCCCAGAGGGTACAGGCCCCAGGGACCCCCGAGGATTTAGGGAGAGGCGGAGGCGGGGCCGACCCAAGTCACCTGTGATGAGGCTCCTGGCTGGGCTGTGAGGGCAGACACAGGGTGAACAGAGCAGGTGAGAGGCAGTGGGGCCCAGTCCTGTCTCAGGATTCTGGGGAGAGAGAGGGAGAGGGACAGAGAAAAGACCCAACCTGGAGCCTGGGCCACGGGGCTGGGGCTCCACCCGCGCTCACCAGCTCCGCTCCTACGCGCAGTGGGCGGGCGTGCTGAGCCGCCTGGCTCTGGAGCAGGAGCGCATCCTGAACCCACTGCTGGACCGGGTTCGGACTGCGGACCACCACCAGCTCCGCTCACTGACCGGCCTCATCCGAAACCTGTCTCGGAACGCCAGAAACAAGGACGAGATGTGTGAGTCGGGCCATCCTGAAGCCTGGGCTCTGCCCTCACCCTGCCTAGCTGGGCTCACCCCTGGGTTTTCTCTTCTGCTGCCCATTTGGGTGGCCCTCTGGCAAGCTAGAGCTGGGCGAATAGATGGAGGGCTCGGGGGTGGGCAGGCAGCCAGAAGTGGATGTGGAGGCCGCCTTCCTGACCTCCCCACAATCCTGGCCTCCTGGCAGCCACGAAGGTGGTGAGTCACCTGATTGAGAAGCTGCCTGGCAGCGTGGGCGAGAAGTCTCCCCCTGCCGACGTGCTGGTCAACATCATAGCCGTGCTCAACAACCTGGTGGTGGCCAGTCCCATCGCCGCCCGAGACTTGCTCTACTTTGACGGGCTCCGAAAGCTGGTCTTCATCAAGAAGAAGCGGGACAGGTGAGGCCCCTCCGGCACCCTCCCCCCACCGGTGGCCTAGCTGATCACCCTGCTGACCCCTGCTCCTCCACCCGCCCCCAAGCCCTGACAGTGAGAAGTCCTCCCGAGCAGCCTCCAGCCTCCTGGCCAACCTGTGGCAGTACAGCAAGCTCCACCGAGACTTCCGGGCGGTATGTTCTGGCGATCCAGGGCAGGCAGGGCGGCCGGTGTCGGACCCGGGGCTGGACATCAGGTGGCAGGGAAGGGACCCGGGAACTCATATGGAATAGGAGACTCGGGAAGTGGGGAACATGAGAAAGGAGACCAGAGCCCCAGGGAGGGGGGGGGGCCTGAGGACAGCGGCCCGCGGGCATGAACCCTGACTCTGGGCCCCCTCTCCACTGCAGAAAGGCTATCGGAAGGAGGACTTCCTGGGCCCATAGGAGGGGCCTTCCTGGAGGAAGATGCAACATGGCCTAGCCTCCAAGGGACAGGCTCAGCTATGCACTGCTCGCTGGCCAGCCTGGGAGAAGGCTGATGGCCTGGGGCTGCTCATGGGAGTCCCGTGTGCAACTTTGCAGGGGCCTGGGCACCAGGGAGGGGGCGAGGGGGTTGTTTCAGGGATTTGGATTCTATAGGGCAGGGGGTGGGGCAGGGCTTGAGGCTGCTCAGGTGTGTGGGGTGGTGACGAAGTCACATGGGCAGAGGTGGTGAGCTGCCAGCGCTGGGAATAAAGATAGCCATGAACACATCCCTGCAAGATTCTTTGGCTGGCTCGACACGGGGGTCCAAGCCAGGAACTCAGCAGTGTCCCTGAGCACAGCAGCGCCTGCCCCTGACGATACTGACACCCAGAGCTCACTCAGAGGCTTCTCCAGGTCAGGGTGCCCAGGACAAGGAGAAGAGGAAATGGGGCACACAGCAGGGGCAGCCCGGAGGCCAACTGAGGCACAAACACAACAGACCTGGGGACCGTGTGCACAGAGGGGTGGCCACTCCTGGGAGAGCTTGTGACCTCTCCTGGCTTCAGTGCTGCCCTGCTGGGCTGTACCCATAGGGCAGACGCACCCAACACTTCTCTCTGCCCTGCCTCACGGGGCCTGGGGGTGTCCTGACCAGGGACTCACACTGTCTGAGTTCCAGGAACCCATGTCACCAAACCAGGACATTTGGTGGTGAAGCTCCCTCCCACTCATACTTTTACAACAAAAGGCTTCTTCTGTAAAGCTCAGAACCTGCAGACTCTAAGGGGCCTGCCCCTCACCCAGGACCTGTCTGAATCAGAGGGGGCTGAGGACAGTCATGCCTTTAAGCAGATAGACCCAAGGAGGCCACTACAAGAGATGTGTCTGAGCTGGCTCAGGATGGAGGATGGAGAGAGTGGGAGTACGTGGACAGCCAGACTTGTGGCTGGGTGGCTGTGGGGATTAGAAAGGGGAGGAGCTGAGGGCCATGGAGAACCTGAGATGGAACTGCCCCTTACTGCCCCAGGAGAGGAGAGGCTGAGGCTCAGGCAGGATCTAAAAGGACTTTATTTTCTGGCACAAGGAGGCATAAGGGCAGTCCCCCCACTTCCCTGAAGGTCTCGTGGCTGGTGGTCCTGCCGAGAGGAGAAAAACCCCACCCGACCCTGCACCCAGCTGTCCTTGGTGGTCCCGCTGCTCTGGTGGGTGCAGGCTACACGTCATCCTCAGACACCAGGCAGTAGAAGTCCGTGCGGGCACTGTAGTTGCGGGAGCCGAGGTCCGAGACATCCACCTCGCTGCCCCGGCCCTCTCCAAGGGTAACCCCACTCACATGGGGTGGAGCTAATGGCTCCCCAAAGATAGGCCCTCGGACACCTGGGAAGAGGGTACCACCAGGCCTGAGGCTGGGCTGCCCACAGCCTGACTTCTGCTAGACCCATGAATGAGGGTCACTCCCTGCTCACCCTCCTGCATAGTAGTATTTGAGCTCCCAGGCAGGCCTTGGGTCCGAGTGCCTCCAGGAAAGGGGCAGTGAGGGTGTGCTTGGGGGGCATCAAGCCCACCTATGCAAGGAGGAGTCTCCGCCACCTGGACCCCTTTCTGGGCTCTTCAGCCCTGTGCACCGCCCTCCGCCCCAGGCCAAGCTTCTCAGGGTCAGGGGTGGGACCAGGTGGGCATACCCAGGTCCCCCTCGGGGTCAGGGTCCAGCTCCAGGTGCAGGGTCCGACCCTCCTGTAGGTGGCCTTGCACGATCAGCATGGGGTCCTTGTCATCCTGCAGGCGGGTCTGGGGGTCTCCCTCCATTGCTCTGTACCTCACCTTCCGTGGCAGTGCCAGCTGCAGCTCTTTCCAGAAATCTGAAGAAGGTGCCTGGGGCCCAGGATTGGGCTGTTAGTCTGGTGGCCTTGGCCCCAAAGAGCACACCTGGAAGCATGCATCCACCTGGCTCCAGGGGCCTCAAAGGAGGCCCCTCTTCTGGGCAGCAGGCCACAGGACCCTCACCCCACGGGGTTCCATTCACAAGTCCCCAAACCACAGAACTGGCCATGTAGGAGCCCCTTTCCGGAACCCGGTACCACCATCCCTATTAAGGGGCCACTCCCTACGCCCCTCTCCGCACCACGGAGCCGGGCTTCCAGAGCAGCAGGGTCACCAGGTGGCGGTGCTGGCGCAGCAGGCGGAGCGCGGGGTGCACGGGGTCTCGCCTCTGGCCCTCGAAGGTGATGAAGATAGGTCTGCGCGTGAGCTCCAGCAGCCGGCACAGGCCCTCCCTGCGGGGGCGGGACCGTCAGGGGGGACGGGGCGGGGGCCCACCCAACCCTGCGCGGGACCCACCGGAAGCTGTGGCTGCACCAAGCCCGGCCCAGGAACGCTTCTGACAGTACCACGATGAGCCGCCGGCAGCGGCTCAGGTTCACCAGGAGATCCGCGGAGGGCTCTGCGAAAACCAGGCGTCGGCGGGACCGGGGGGAAAGGGCGGGGCCACGGGGGCGGGGCCACGGGTGGGCGGGGCCCGGAGGTAGATGGGGCGGGGCCACGGGGGCGGGGCCCGGGCTCAGAGCGGGGCGGGGCCCGAAGGAGATGGGGCGGGGCCGTGAGAGGGAGGGCACGGTATCCGGACGCGGCGAGGCCACCAGGCGGGGCCCGCGGTACCCGCGCGTGGCAGGAGGTCGCGGTCATCCAGGAAGAGCTTGTAGCCCCGACGCCGCTCTAGCTGCGGCTTCAGGATGAAGTTCACGAACTTCCGGTCTTCGGGGCTGTCGCTGTAGGAGACGTAGGCGTCGTAGAGTTTTCCGTCTGCGAACGGCAAAGGGTCAGCGCCAGGTTTTCGAGGCCTGGGCCTGCTACCCTGGCCGCTGTCCCCCGCCCACCCTGGGTCCTCTAACCCCTCCCCACGAGCGTCGGGGGACCAGGCCTGCCTACCTGGCAGATCCCGCATGCACACCCACAACCCCGCCTCCAGTGCTGGACGCGGGCTGCCTGCCAGGCTTCTGCGCTCTTTCCTGGACTGTGTGCTCAACAAAGATCCCCCCCACCCCCGCCCCAGGGAACTCCAGGGTCACCCCTCCACATTTGCTAGGGACAACCCGCCCGCCCAAAACAGCCTAGGGAGGCCTCATAGCTGATTCATTCTTGTCCATCCTGGCCCCACGCACCGTTCATCTCCACCTCCCCATAGGTGTCTTGGTACCAGAGCAGCACATTCAGCCGACACTTCACATAGAGCAGGGCGGCCAGGAGCAGGGCCAGCAGGACCAGGAGTGAGGCCAGCACCGCGGCCACGTGGCCAGCTGGGCCTGGGGACAGAGCTGCAGTCTGAACCGCTGCCGCCCCCACCCAGCATTCTCCAGGCCTCAAGGCTCCCCAGGTCCCTCTAGGCCTCCCACCTTCCACCCAGTGTACTGCCACTCACCAGCTCCCCAAAGAGTAAAGGAGGAGGAGCTGACATTCCGGATGGAGCAGGTAAAGACCCCATAGTCCTCAGCACTGGTCAGGTTGACCCCCAGAACACTGGACACAAGCATCTCTGATGAGTTGGCCTTGACCCTAGGGAGACCAGGCCGAACCCTCTTACCTGGGGCCTGAGAGCATCAGTAGATGTTCCTGGGCCCCACCTGTCAGACGCCCCCCCACAGAGGCTGCAGATGTGGGCTTCCTGAGCAGTCCTTGGGCCATAAGCTAAGAGAAGTGGCCAAAACCTGGTGGGGGTAAGGGTCTGTTTGGGGACAGTCACCCTGATCCTGGGTCTGGATTTTGAGGATCAGTGCCTAATTCAGACCATAGGACTGTGCTGGCACCCATGGTCCCGGGCTGACTACAAGGGGCCATCTATCCCTGCAGTCACTGACCCTTAGTCCGTGTCAAAAGTGGCACTCTGTCCATGTCCAGGTGGTTATAGACCAGGGTACAGGTGGCCCTGGGTATAACCAGGGTAGTCACCTGACCCTGGACACCCCAGTCTCTTACCAGGAGTCTTCATGGAGGCCATAGTGGTTTCCATTGCCCAGTGGCAGCCCGCCTTTCAGCCACTGGACTGAGGGCAGGGGACAGAGGGGCCCAGAGACCACCCAGGCTGTGCAGTTCAGAGTGACCACACTGCCCAGGGCGGGCTCCAGGGCCTGGTTTCCAGACGGAGAGAGGAAGTTGGGGACCCTATCACAGACACCTGCAGAGAGAGGACCCAGAGATTAGCCATGTCTGGGATGCTGGGCTCCCACCAACCACAGATGGTCTGTGGGCCAGGAAAAAAACAAGACGGTCAGTGGCATGTGTTCTTGGTGGGCACACCACGTCCATGCACAAGTCCCACAGGGGACAGGGCCTGGCACTTGGCATGCTTTCCCTCAGCAGCAGCTGGGCCTTGGGTGTTCTGCCTGCCTTTGATGTGGCTGCTCTGTCCTCAAGGACATTGGAAGGCAGCAGCCAGAGGCATAGCTGAGCTGACCCACCCCAGCCCAGGGGGGCCCATCTGACTGCCCATCCACCCAGTACATGAGCCCAGCTCCCACATTTTCTGTGTGCACCTGTTGCCCACTGCTCAACTCCCACCCCAGGTGAGTGGCCAGGCACTGTACCCTCACCCGGCCCCTCCGCCAGGAGACCTGCAGCAAGTGTAAACACCAGTGGCTTGGGGGGCTCAGGAGCAGAGCGTGCCACTCCTTCCACCTGGGATGGGAGCATGGGATTCCAGGACCCCCTAGGGGGACATGAGAGGAGACCACCATCATCTTGGTGTGGTCTCTCAGTAGCCCACATCTACCCATCCTGCCCCTGGGATCCTCCCCTCCACAAGCTCCCATTCCCGGTGTTCCTCAGCTTTCTGGACTCCCACGACCATAATCTAGAGGCTTTGGGAAGGAGATGGCTCAGAGCCTGCCCTGACTGTGGGGTCAGGCCCTCGAGCTATGTGGGGGGAGTGAGCAGAGGCCTTTGTACCCCTGGCTGGTGGCAACATCGCAGCACGGAGCCGGCCCGAGGGACAGGAGGTGGGAGTGGGGTCTGCGCCTGTCCCTCTCTGACCCGTCTACCTGCCATGGTCTGGCTGGGGCCTTCTCAGGGCAGGCTGGACTCTGGTGCCACACGCTGGCTCCTCGGGGATCCTTGGCTGAGCAGACTGGTCCCCCAGGGGCTCTCTGTCTCTGTGGCCGGTCAGTCAGGGCACCAGGAGGGGTCAGAGGCTGCTGCCACCCCAAAGGAGAAAGTTAAACAAGAAGAGGATGAGTTAACATGCAACCTCGCAGCAGTTACCTTGAGGGTGCCAGGCACACCAGCACAGCATCACGCGCGGCGTCTCACACCGGAGCGGGCACAGCCCAGAGGGCTTGGGGGAGCCCTCAGACTTCCCTTCACCTGCTCCAAGTGTCACCGTGATGGCCCAGGGAGTGCCCCCTGGCACCCTCATGAGGTGGGACATGGCTGTGTCCCCCCCATGCCCCGGGACAGTCACCGCAGACAAGGAGGGCTGCGGTGCAGACCTCTCCCGGCCCTGAGCGCCGAGGGTCACATGCCACCAAGGGGTGGGTGTGGGCTGCTGGACTCGGAGCCATCCTCCCAGCTATAGGGTTTGGTCCTGGACATGTCCCGTGTGCACACGTGTGTGTGGACACGGCACCTGAGCTGAGCCAGGCCACTGTCCCCAAGGCGGGAGGGAGGGAGCCTGGCTGGACTGAGTTCACTCCAGCAGGCCCTATGGGTCCCACACCTGTGTTCCCCCACCCATCTGTCGTGTCCAAAACTAAAGACCTTTGTACACATTGTCTAGTTCTCCAAGGGAGGCCCCCACCCCACCCACAGGTGGCTCGCTCCTCTGGGGGGCTGGGACCACTCCGAACCCAGACTGGGAGCAGATGCACGTGCCTCCTGACACAAAAAGCTCCAGAGTGACCTGAGCTGAAAGGAGGGGCCAAAACCCCCAGGCCAGAGCCTTTCCCCCGCCTCACAGCCTCCTCTACAGCAAGAGTCCTGGGGCCACCAGCTCCTCCCGGCCCCCAGGTTGGCCCAGCTGAAGTGGCAGGTATTTACTGAGTCCTCACTCCACTCCTGCCTGGGGCTGTCCTCTCCACCCCTAGGACCCCAAATCTCTTAGCCTTCCCTCCATCCCTTCTGCGTGGGCAATGCCACCGTGGGCCTGGCCTAGGCTCCGCACAGCCAGAAGCCCTGGGTTTGGCTGGGCTGGAATTTCCTCGGGTAATTCTGCTGGAGTATCAGGCAGGGAACGGGTGCAGAGGTTCCTTCCTGAAGCCCTCTGGTGGAGGGCAGTCTTGGGAAGGTCCCTGAAGCAGCACCAGTCCACTGGGAGGCTGTGGGAGACAGCTCGCACCCCTTCCCCCGTGTTCCCAGCCCAGCAGGTCCCAGGGAAATTCCGGCAGTAGCCCTTCCGCTTCTTCAAACTCAGAAGAATTTTTACCCCTGGAGAGGCAGGCTCTGACCTTCCTGGAAGTTAAGGCCAAACTGCAAAACAGGGACAGGGGTCCTCCCCCGGCGCACCCTCCCCTACATAATCTGTTTTGCACAACGTGCGCACACACAGACCCCTCCCCATGCACACGTACTACATCACCCCACACACACACCTCCCGCACTCCTGCGGCCGCACACACAGTGCACACATACTTGCAGCAGCTCCCACAGGGCGCATAGCCCTCAGCATCTGCACAAACCCACATCACACACTGCCCCTCACACCAGCCCTTGCCCCCAAAGGTACACACACAGCTTCCTGTCACCCTTGTTCTTACAGGCACACACAGGCTATGTGCGGGGCCTCCCCTCAGCCGGGCCTGACTAAGGATGGTGTCGGAGGGCAAGGACACAGGCTCACGACAGTAGAGCAGCAAGGCTGTCAGGGGGAGTACGCGGAGTCACCTGGTTCCAGCTCTCTCCTCCTGGGGGGTGGTGTCGGTCATTGAGGTCATCGATGCCTGCTTGGGAGGGAACTCTCGGCTCAGCTGGGCCCCAGGCCCGGCCCGCGGCCCCGCAGCCCCAAAACACATCACCAAGCACAGTGAGGACCTGCCTTTTGTTTGTGTGTGTGTGTTAATCAGAACTTTCCCTGCAGCTTCCTGGCTTTGCAGTCACATCCTCTCCTAACCCTAAACCCCACCCAGGCAGGCGGGCAGTTGGTGGTTCTCGCCCCGCCTGCCCCGCCTGCATGCTTCTTCCTGTAACTCTGAGTAAGCAGCTCCTTCCTCTGGGGCCCACCCCAGCCCACCCAGGCAGCATATTTCCCCCGAGGCCAGGCCTGGGGAATGGAGAGAAGGTTTCAGAGAGGCTGGGACCTGGGCCCTAAGGAGACCTCCCCAGTCAGGGCCATCCTGCACGCGCGTGCGCGCGCGCGCACACACACACACACACGGTCAGCTGTGTCCCAGACATGGTCTACAATGTGACACTCAGGATGGTGAGAGCCTCCAGGTTGCAGCCGCAAAGTGCATCTGCCCTGTGACATGCTGAGGTGAGGGAGTCCTGTGGAAATTCCTGCCAATAATGAAGCCTTGAGCAGAGCTTTTGGGCTCTCTCCTGGTCCATTTCCCCATATAGTGCCCAAACAGGGGCTGTGGTATAACATGGACCTTAGTTTCAGGCTGGGATGGGAAGGCAGTCCCTCCTTTTTCAGATAAAGAAGCAAGAAAAAGCCTTGATAGAAACTCCTGGGCTCTAAGCCCAGCTGGGGGGTGGGGGGGGATGGAGGGGGGGCATCCACTTTTGTCACTTCCCCTCCCAGACTGATGTGGGACTCAGGGCCCAGCAATCGGTAGCTGGCATCACTACCCATAGAAATTGGGCGGGGGGGGGGGGCGGGGGCGCCTGGGTGCATCTGACTTCGGCTCAGGTCATGATCTCACGGTTCGTGGGTTCGAGCCCCGCGTCGGGCTCTGTCCTGACAGCTCAGTGCCCGGAGCCTGTTTCAGATTCTATGTCTCCATCTCTCTCTGTCCCTCCCCTGCTCACACTGTCTCTCTCTCTCTCAGAAATAAATAAAACATTTAAAAAATTTTTTAAATTAAAAAATTTAAAAAAAGAAGAAGAAATTGGACAAGGGGGCCCTTCAGGCCCTGTCCCTGCTCTCACCTACCCAGGGGCAGAGGCCCACCAGTGGGTCAGCCTCAGTACTGGCTTTCCTGTGTCCTTGATCTGACCCTGCCCCAGCCCTGATCATCCCCACCCCCACCCCATGGCTGTCAAGACCCTCCGGTGATGGTGCATCTAGGGCTCAGGGTCCCACAGAACTATAGGAAGACGTGACGGCACCCTTCCCCCTGAGCTGCAGCTTCCGGGATGAGTGTGGGCACTGCTACCAGCCCCTCCTGGAAGGTGTCTCAGGGGGCCTGACGCCCAGAGGGACGGTGCAAGCCCCAGACACACAGTCGTCAGTGACCTGCCCTGGAGTGCCCAGGCAGACAGAGCTCCAACCAGCCTTGCTGCCTCTCATAGTTCCTGCCAGACTTCCTGTTGTTCTGTGTGCGTCCCCGGGGCCACCATCGCACAGCCATGACACCCCCTTCTTCTGCTAAAGTACACCCTCATCCCCAGGCTCACCCTCCAAGGGGAGAGCCCACAAGCCCGTATCGCCTCGGGCACTATCTAGGACCGCCCTTCGAATCCGAGCTCACCCCTCCCCTCCCCCCACCACACCCAGTGGTTCCTAGAAAGCTCCAGCTCCTCTGCCTGTGTTCTGGCTTGAGCTCTGGGTCCCTCGGCGCAAGCGATGGAGGCGACGCCCCCCCCCCCCCCCCCCCCCCCCCCCCCCTGGTTTGCTGCTTAGCACCCCACGGTCTCGTAGCATCTCCCGCTCAGCTGGGACTTGCTGCGCCCCCGACGCGTCTCCTGAAGGACAGAATCGCACACAAGGTCTTGGCCCGCAGGCGAGGGGCTCTGTCCTGCTCCACGGGCCACAACGCCCAGTTCTCCTTCACTCCGCACCCCGCCTCCGGCACTCCGCCTTAGCTAGGGGTGAGCGGGGTCTAGCAGTCCCCACCCTCCAGGTGCGGCGGGCAGGCGGGTCGGGGGCAGGCACAGAGGGCGGGGACGCTGGTATCAAAATGGGAACGCGCACCGAGAGCCGAGGGCAGACGGGGGCGCGCACGGGGGGGCCAAGGATGACCGGTCGGGGTGCGCACGGTTGGCGAGCAGGGCGCGCAGGCCTAGTGCGGCAGGTGGGGGACGCGGGCCGAGGGCGGGAGCGCGCGCGTGACTGCAGCTCCGCCCGGCGACCGGCGCCGCGCACGGCCCCGGCGGGCTCTTCGGTGCGCCCTCGGGGATCACGGAGGCCCCTGGATCTGAGCTCCGGTCCGAGGCGAGGGGCCCCGCGCGCTGCGGCGTTCCACCTCCGTCTCCTGGGCGAAGGTCACGAGGAAGCCACTGCCCACGTCGGGCGGAGCGGGAAACGTGGCCGGAGCTGTCCCCGCACCCTCCACCCCCTGCCCCGCCGCCAGACCCACGGGGCCAGGACACGGACAAACTCAGGCTTCCGGGCGACGGGGGCAGCCAGCCCGACTCCGAGCCACTTCCTGCGGGACCGCGCCCGCCACGGCCCAGAGGCTCTTCGGGACAAGGGTCCCCAAGCTCCAAGCCTAGTCCCGGCTCCCAGGAGAGGGCGACCTCAGCTCACCCCCGTGGGCCTGAGCCACTCACCCTGCTTCCAAGACCTGGGGATCGCGCCGATCGCGGAGGCGGGACAGCTTACCTGGGCCAGGTGCGCAGCGGCGACAACCCCGGTGGCGACGGCAGGTGCAGCCCCGCCCAGCAGCCGGGGCCTGAGGGCGGACCCAAGAGTCCCGTTTCGCGCCCAAGCCTGGCGGTTAAGACGGTCCTGCTCTCAGACGCCAGGAAGCCTCTGAGCTGCAGCCACCCGGCCTGGGGGCAGAGGGCGAAGCGGCCCAACCGGCCGCAGAGTCTTGGGCCTGGGGGCTCAGAGTCCCGGCTGTCCCCAGGGGCGCCTTTGCGGTTCCGCCCCCCTCCCCAGCTCTTTCTCCAGGAAGCCTGCCTCGAACCCTCAGGCGCCGGAAGGTAGGACCCCACAAGCCGCCGCTCCCTTGGGAGCCCAAGGAAAACCGGAGGGGGACCAGGAAGCGCCACGTTGCAGACCTTTCTCCACCTGGGCCTCAATTTCCCATCCAGCCCTGAGGACAGACTTAGTCCACAAGAGGCCCAGAATTGACACGAAGTTTTTATTTTATTATAGAAAGATCTCCAGGCTGAGGGGAGCCAGAGAGGTGGGATCAGGGCCCCCTGACCAGCCAGGGTGGGGGAGAGGAGGAGGGTCTGGGTCCCACAAGTCAGAGAGGGGCTCAGGATACTGGGCTAGTTTTCCTGTGTTCTGACTGCTGAGAAGCACCCGGTACCCTAGCTCTGTGAGTGGCAGAGGGCAATCAGAGTTCAAGTCAAGGCTACCCCAGACCTGAGCCTTGCTAACAGATGGAACAGGTCTCCTAGACCACAGCGTGCTGCTCACCAGCACCTCGAATGTACACGGGCCCTCCAAGACCTCCCCCCCGCCTCCCCGTGTACACCAGCCTCCCGGGACCCCACGCATATGCCGTGAGTGGGGGTGGGAAGTGGTGGTGGTGGCTCTGAGTCTCAGCTCCTGGGCACCAGTGCTTCTTGGCCAGCTCTGGGTCTCCTACACATCTGTGCTCTTGGGGCTGGAGCTAGAGGCAGGAATGGGATTGTTGGGGATCAGGGCCAAGGCCCTGGGGCGTGGCCCCACCCCTGCCTGGCCTCTGCCTCCCATACCAGAGTGTCCGGTACTTGTGCTCCAGAACCTTGTTCTTTACAGACTGAGGGACATCAGGCACGAACCAGGCAGCAATGAGCTTGATGCACAAGGCCACGTGCTAGGGGCAGGGGACAAGGGCTGAGCAGGCATTTTAGGGGCTGGGGGCCAGGGAGGAGGGCTGGAGAGAGCTGCCCCTGCTGTACCCCCCCCCCCCCCGGTTCTGGCCCACCTCAAAGACGATAAGGAAGACCAGGCGGATGGCCAGGAGGACCCAGAACTGCTTGGATAAGTTGTAGTTATCCTGATCGTTGCGATAGTCCCGGTACCTGGGGTGGGGAAGCGCCTGAGGTCAGAAAGCAGGGGGCAGGGATTCAGGGGTGGCTCATGGGGGCTGGGGGAATCCAGACCTGCACTCAGTCACGTTCTCTGAGCCCTCTATCCCGATGGGGTCCTGGAAGTCCTTGGTGTGGAACACGGACAGACTATGGTTGACGTAACCCGTGAGGCAGCTGGGGGAGAGAGAGAAGGGCAGGGGCAGGTGGGGGCTGCGGAGCACGGCCTCTTCTGGCTCCCAGGGGACTTTCCTGGAGCTAAGCCCTGTGCGGTGGGGGCTGCTAGGGTGGAACACAGCACAGAACCCCCTTCATTTCTCTGCGTGGGAGAGGGGCCCCTGGGGGCGACTGAAGGGACTCAGAGGGCCACCACCTGCTGTCCGTGCCAGGAACCCAGGGGAGCCTTCCAGGGGGAGACCCACGGAAACCCCATCTGTAGGATCAGTGGTCCCCGGTGCAGCCCTCTTCCGTGGAGCAGACCCCAAAGGGTCTGACTTTTGGGATGGAGTCATTCTGGTGGTGGCTGCTCAGGAAACAGCTCCTTCTGGGGCCTTCATTTCCCCATGGGGGTTCCCAGCAGATTGGTGTGGGAGGGCAGGGCCACCCTCAGGGCCGGATTTATGACAACCACAGACAACACTGGCCACTCAAGCCCTTCCCCCGGGCTCCTCTAGGGCTGGGCTGTGGTTGGGCCAGTTTTCCCAGGGGTCTCTGGGTTCCCCTTACTCGACTCCAGGGTTGGCCCCCTGTCGGCATGGGCCGTAGTGGTACTTGTACACCACTCGGGGGATGAACTCAGATGTGAAGGCGATGACCATTCCGTTGGCAATGACCGCCAGCACACCGATGGTCTCCAACACCTGCAGCCAGGTCCCTGGGCCACAGTAGTGGGGTGAGGCAGTCTGGCTCCTCAAGCCCTGGCCCTCTGGCACTGCCCGCTCCACTGCCACCCATGATCCCCCAAGCCTGGGAGCCTGGATGGTCATGGGGCCTTGCCACCCTGCCCATGCCTCTGCTCATGGCGCCGTGGGCAGCCTTCACTGATGAGGAGGACCTGGGCCATGGTGGACATAGACCAGGAGAGGCTCAGGTCCCCCCAGACCCTCATCTTCCGCCTGAACCCCTCAGCTGCCCCCAGCTTGCCCCACTCCTGGGTCAGAAGGCCTCAGCCTGGGCCCTAGAGTGGGGCCCCCTCCCCTCCACCTCTTCCTCTGCCCACGGCCAGCACCCAGTCCCCTCCGCTCTTCCCTGATAACTGGCCATCTCGGCCAGGACAGTCTGGGTGACTGAGGCCACCTCTTAGTCCCTGCCCTCAGCTACTGGACCCCTCCCTTTCTCAGCTCCCTGTTCTCAGAGCCCAACTCCTCTGCCTGGGTCCTCTCCCTGCAGCTGGATCCTACTCAGGGAGGGCAGCGCCTGCAGGTGCGCGCCAGCCTTGCCTCTTCCTGGGGCCTGAGCATCACTCTCCAAGGCCAGCTCTCAGCCTAGGTAGAACCTGGGAAAGGGCTGGGGGTGGGGGGGCTTATCTTGGGATTATTTCAAGGGAACTGGCATGATCTGGTCCCATCACTCTTTGCCACCCCGCCCCTGGCTGGAGTGCCCATGTTCCTTGCTGCCGAGTCGGGCCCCTGACCGATGTCCTTGGCCTTGCGGGGTACCAGGCGCCGCTGCAACCTGACCATCTTAATGGCGTCCAGGCGGATCTCCACGAGGTTGCTGAAAAGCGCTAGCAGCGGGGCGAGCGGGAAGGCGGCCACGAAGATGGTCGTGAAGCCGTACTGGATCACTGAAGGGTGTGGAGATGTCACCTTGTGCCGTGGGGCGCACCACCCACCAGAGTGCCTGCCCCCAGTGCCCACCCCCTCCGCCAGTCCCCCAGTCCCTGCCCCTGAGACTTGCTGTCAGGCCTGTGCCCCCCAACCCCACCCACGTACTCATCTCCATGAACTCATCGAACAGGCTGAAGGTGTTGACTGGGTTCAGGAGGTAGTTGCGCTGCCAGTCCCTGAGCTCGGGGTCCTCGGATGCGTGGCTCAGCTTGGCCCGTATTAAACGACACTTGTGGGCCAGCCACCTGGGGGGTGATAAGAACAAGTGGGGAATAGGCTGAGGGGCCCTTTGGGACTGCTGGCTCTGGGAAATGTGGAGACGGGGCTCCCTGGGGTGAGGAGGGGGCAGCAGGAGGGCCCTAGGGAAGGAGGGAGGTCCTCACGGGCCCAGGTACTCCACACAGTTGCTGAGCGTTTGTTTCAGACCCATGATAATGGCCATCTGCAGGAACAGGTCCATCATGCAGCCACTGAGATGGCACTGCAGGGGGCCAGAGGGGGAGGTCAGGCGCGGGGGATGGGAGGTCAGGCGCGGGGAGGGAGGGCTGTGGGGGGCGGAGGTCAGGGACGGCACGACCAAAGTGTCTGGGACAGACTGACCTCCTCCAGCCTCCACATCCCTGCCAGGCGCACGGACTTCCCGGGGTGACCGTTGATCCTAGGAAGGACAGATAGGCTGGCAGAGCGGCAGCACCTTGCTTCTGACTGGGTGGGGATGGGGGAGCAGAGGGGCTGGGAAACAGAGGCTGGGTACTGGATGCGCGGCCCACACCCAGACACTCCCCTCCACACGCACTCACACACATGCACAAGCAAAGCCTGGCCATTCACGGGTGCAGGGAGGTGCTACACAAGGCCCGTTAGAGTGGCCTCAGTTTCTCCCCATTGAAACTGTGCACATAGGATTATTTTGTGTTTAAAGTCACCTGCTTTCCATTACATGATAAAAAAATACAAACCACATCAAACCAAAAGTCAGGCTCCTGGCCAATGGTCGGGAAAACAGTCTCACCTCAAGGGGGCTGAACAACCAAAGACTCAGATTGCTGGGCTGGGCCACTGCATACTGAGAGCCCACACGGTCCCCACCCCCACCCCCACACCACTGAGCTCCCAGCAACACTGACAAGCGTCCTTCTGCCACCGGCAGGAGTGCAGAGACAGACAGAGCAAGAGCCCCTCTTGGGAGAGATGTGGCCCAGAGCAAAGCCACTGGCATGCGCCTTTCTCCCTGATGGACAAGAGCCAAGAACTGAGGGCATCTAAGGAGAGCCTCTAGCATCCAGGTCAGAGACCAATTAAAGAACGAGTAAAAGAGTGAAGGAAACTTGGAAGGGATAGAAGCAATCGTAGAGCAGAAGAAGGAAAAAGAAAAGGCAAGATCCGCAGACAAGAAAAGCCATGGCGTCCAGGGCCATGAAGAGGAGGCTGTGAAGGGTTGTCCGAAGAAGGGCCCTGAGGTGAAGAGCGTGGAAATGAATGTAAAACATTCAATCAAAGGGCTGGGAAACTGTGCTGAGAAGAACTGCCAGAAGCTGGAAGAAAAATGGGAGGAAAAAAAGCCAAAACAATTAGGCAGTCAATTCAGAAGGTCCAATTTCCAAATAAAAGGAATTCCATCTTGTGTCCAAAGACACGAGATGCGTGACATCCGCTAGGGACTGAAGGGCCCAAGGCTCCAGGCCCAGCAAGTGCCTGGCCATTTCCTTCCATCTGACTGAGGTCAGTTCTGCAGGCCAAGCCTGCTGTGGTTGCCAACTCTGCAAAGGCGCCTCAGGAGGCTGCCGTCCACGTAAGAGAGACAGCTAGCAACCGACAGCATGGGGCCACAGGGAAGGTGAGGGACCCGGGGGGGGGACAGGGCTTTGGGCTGAGCAACAGGAAGGTGCAGCCGCCGTGGGGAAGGAGGTCGTGGACGAGCCTGTGGGCGCAGAAAGGCTGGCATGATGTCGGAGCATCTGAAGGGGACCGAGGGGCAGCCGGACCTGTGAGTCTGGGCTCCAGGGAGAGTGTGCGCTGGGACAGGAACGTGGGCCTCACTGCTGTGGCTAGGCGACGTCAGGCCATGAGATTGGTTGGGATGCTCAAGGGTCGGGAGAAGAAGAGAAGCGGATACCCAGGGAGGGGCAGGGCAGGGAGGGAGAGGACCAGACACCAGACGTGCTGCTCAGGGCACTCCTGGAAAGCAGGACAAGACACTGGTGCGGAGGTGGAGATGAGCCAGGACTGAGATCACGGTGGATGAGGCAGAGGAGAGAGGTGAACCGCTCCAGCCCGTCCAGTGAAAACCCACCAAGGCAGCCACTGAGAGCTTTCAGAAGACGGCGTGGGGGGGGGGGGGGGGGGTGGGGGGGGGGGCGGTTAGAGCTGGGAAAGTCTGCCTCCAGCGGTAGAGGCCTCTGATTCCCTCTGTGTACCCTTCCTTGGGAAGCCACCAGGGGCCCTACAGGGCAGAGAACAAGGGGCTCCCTGGACCCGGCCTGAACGCACACAGCCCCAGGGGACGGGCAGACCCAACAGGGAGGGCGTCTCAAGGACGGCCAAGGTGCAGGCACTGCCTGATGTCTTTGAACATACTTGGAGGAGTTGGTTTCCTTTCAAAGTTCTGCTGGAGTTGGGAATTAATGGGCGATATGTATGTGTCTTGTGCTATTTAAGCAAACATACAGAACAAATGGAGCAATTATTTTTTTTCAGAAAAGACAGAAAAGTGAATGTTGGTTGAACCAAAAACATGTCCATTTCACCAGAAAGAAAGGGAAGGGAAATGCATGTGCATTATACGGGATGCAGCTTGTTGAAGCTCAACATTGGAAATAACGCAAATGTCCACCAACTAAACTGACAAGACAAATTCCAGCACATTCCACAAAATAACGCTAATAGCAATTTTAAAAATGAGGCCTCACCACCCATGTAGATGTGGGAGATGTCCCTTGTACATTTTAAGCATAAAGAGAAGATACGATTATTTACAGGACAAAACAATGTATGTCAACAGGTGTATATGTGTGTGTGCTTCAATGTGTAAAAAATTCTGGGAAGACCCACCAAACGGTTACAGGGTCACCTCTGGGGACAGGGAGCAGAGAGGGGGTTCACTGTGGGCTCTTCCACATGTTTTTATATTGGGCTCCCAATTGCTCTGAGCACGAATTGTTTTAAAAATTAAGATGAGCAGGTGTTTCCTGTAAAGGGGAAAAAGGCAAGTTGGAGGGAGGTGGTGGGAGTGGCCGCCCCTACCTGCCCAGGATGAAGGCGATGTAGATGAGGGAGGAGAAGTGGGCAAAGAACTGCAGAGTGAAGAACTTGATGGTGAACTTGCTCTCCCGCTCTGAGAAGGTCCTGGGCTTCTCTGGAATGAGACGGGGGCTGTCCCTCTCCTGTCCCCAACCTGTCCCTCTTCTGACAACTCAGAGACACCGGCAACCCTCACTTGTCTGCCAGGTGTGAGAGGCGGTGGGGACACAGAGGATCCAGGGACCCAGGAACCCAGCCCCGAATGGTCCTGTCCCTTCCCTGCGCACCCCCCCAGGGCCAGGAGGCACTAGAGGCCTCCCCTCTCACCAAAGTCACAGAGCTTGAGGGCCACATACTTGTTGATCTGCAGGATGGGAGACCAGACAACTTACCTGGGGCCTCGGAGGAGACCCCCCCTGTGCCCCCTCTACCCCTCCCCCAGCCACCTTGGTCATGATGACGATGGCCACGTAGTGGACCAGAGCCCCGGTCACCACCGTGGCTGTGGTCACCTGCTCCTCCTGGAAGAGCAGGGTGGAGTTGAAGAGGGCGGCAGCCAGGACGCGGTAGACCACCAGGGCATGGGCCGCGCCGATCATGAGGCAGATCTGTGGGGAGGGAGGCCGGCATGGGGCTGGGGGGCCCAGGGGTCCAGGTCTCCGGCGGACAGGCCCCCGGGAGGCCCCCCAGGGGTACCATCAGGAGCGATACGATCAGGATGGCGGTGCTTCGCAGGTAGGAGTGCTGGTGTAGCCGCAGCTTGTAATCTGGGCAGTTAATGAGTTCGAGCGCTATTTCCTCCTGTGGAGGCAACGCGACACTCCTCAGCCCCGGGACCGCTTCCCACGCAGGGACACCCACCTGGCACGCGGCTGTGGGGCCCCACGGGGCCCTGGAAACAGCCCCTGCGCGGCGGGCAGCCTCACCTGGTCTTCGTCCCACCCGTACAGGTCCCAGTGCAGGACCACACTGGCTCGCTTCCGCTTCCAGATCTCCAAGAACACCGTGGCTGCGGACAGGGGGGCAAAGAGGCAACACCGTGTGTCCCTGGGGTGGGGCTGGGGCGGCGGCAGGGGCGCAGGGGGCGGGAGTGTCCCGGGACTCAGGCTTTCCCCCCGCCCCCGCCCAGCACCTGCAGCGACTCACCCCACAGAGCCATGAAGATGGCAAAGACCACGGTGCCCTCGTTGTCGAAGAGGTGGGTGAGCTGGGGAGAGCAGCGCGTGGCTGGGGACAGCCCTCGGCTGCCCGCTGCCCCCACCCCACGGCTCTGCAGGGCAGGCCCTCCGCCCCGCTTGTGGAAGACCCCCGGGCCACAGACCTTGGCGAACGTGCAGGTGTCTGAGAGCTTCTGGTACCTGCGGCTGTGGTCCCCACGGGGGCACAACAGGGTGTCCTGTGCCTCACAGATCTCCTTGCTGAGAATGCAGGGGCTGGGCTGGTGGCAGCTCTCCCCGGACTTGGGGAGGAGGGGTCTTCCCCCCCCCGACCTCGCCTCCCAACCCACCTGATCTGGCTGGCGTTGAACAGGGAGAAGCCGCTCAGGAAGATGACGAGGCCGGCCACCGCGGCGGGCACCAGCATGTAAGTGTACCAGCCGAGCCAGGCAAAGTACAGGGCCACCTTCTCACCAAAGTAGTCTCTGTGGGGACACTGCCCCATCAGGCCACCACCCCCCCGGGACGTGACCCCGTGGGCCAGTGCCAGGGTCTGGGTGCCACATGTGGAGACAAGGACTGTGTGACACCGGTGTGTCCCGCCCAGGAGCACAGACACATCTGTTTGCTGCGGACACAAGTGTGTCTGTGGGGAGACCTCTGGGGTCTCAAGTGTGTCGTCTGTGGAGTCTCAGGTGTGCCTCTGGGGACACAGGTTGTCTGTGGGGACACGGGTGATTTGTTTGAGGCAGTGTCACCTGATATCATCAATTGGCTGCTTGTGGACCATGTTTCTCCACTGGGCCCATTTCTTCCTCAGGTCGTCCTCTCCCTGGGCACGGGTGACAGATGGTGAGGGCTCCCTGCCTCCGGCCCCACCGGGGGCGCTCTCCCTGCCCTGGCCCACGCCTCACCTTGTGCAGGGCGAATCTGGTCTCAAAGACCCCATTCTTCACCAAATCCTCTAACGTGTCTGGCAGTCACAGGGAGTGTTGAGTTGGAGGGGAGAGGGGAGAGGAGGGAGGGGGGAGCCTGCCCTGCTCTCCCCACATCGACACCCCTCCCGGGGGAGTCGCTGCACAGGCCACTGCTTCCCGCTCCCCCCCCCTCCCGTCCTTACCCCCAGCTGCTGTCTTGCTGTTCAGCACAAAGTTGACAATCCGGATCCTGGAACACAGGACCTCCTCAGGGGACCCCATCCTCTGTCTGGTGAGTCCCAGGCCCCTCTGTGTCCCTAGTGCAGCCTCCAGCCTGCCTCGATTGCCTGACTAGAGCCCAGAATCTAGGACTCCCCTGGGAGCTGACCCCCACCTCTCAAGTCCTCCAGTGGCCTGCGCCCCATGGCTCCAGGACGGGGCTCTCTCAAGGGCAGGCCCTTCCCTCTCAGGACCCCAGTGCTCAGTCCTGCACCATTTGCTCCCAAATACTGGGCCTAGACGCCCCTACCTGTAACCACACCTCCCACCTGGGGCCCCCACACATCCAGAGCACACCTACGCCTTTATATGCACAAACCCTCCTCACCCTGTGAGTCGTTTTGCACACGGGGAGACTGAAGCTCAGAGGGACCTGGGCCAAGGAGGGATATGAGGGGGGAGGGGGGAGTGGTGTGGAAGGTGGAGGCTCAGGGGAGAAGGAGGTGCTTGGGGAGAAGAGGCGAGGAAGCCTGGGAGGCTGAGGACAGACGTCTAGGGAGGGGCAGCCGGTCTAGAGAGGGGAGGAGGGGACCCACATCCCAGGTCTGGGGGAGATGACCTCAGAGCTAGGAGAGCGGGCTGGGAGGGTCCTCCAGGCCTGTCCAAACCCTGCGGTCCCTTTGGGGAACACTTGTAACCCTCAGAACTCTCCTAGATGCAAAACTGAATTATCCCTTATCACAGACAGACATGGACACCGAGTCACAGAGCCCGGCCCCTGGGATCCCTGACATAAGACCATGCCCGGAAGTCCGACTGGACCAGGGGCGCGGTGGGCAGGGGCCCTCCTGGGCCGTCCTCTCCAGCCTCTCACCTCGTGGTGGCTGGGATGGGAGTAGGCCTGGCCGGCTGCACTCTGACGGTGGGACCGTGAGGCTCCATGAGGAGTGTGCGGTACTGATCAAAGATCCTGCTGTCGGCTCGGACCCCAAAGAACACCTTCTCGTGGTCCTCCTTCATCTGGGGGTGGGAGGGCGTTGGGGGACCTCCGCTCCGCTTTGGAACCCACCCCCTTTGTCCTTTTTTGACACTGGCCTGTCCCTTCGACCTCAGGCACACGGCCACAGCCATGTCTCCAGACCCCCAGGACACGCTGTCCCCCGTGTCCCCAGCCCCTCTGCCGCCCCTCCCCCGCGCCTCGCACCAGGCCAGGCGCTCAGGCAGCGCACCTTGTAATGGAAGCCCTTCCTCTTGAGCTCCTCCAGGAACCGTCGCTGCTGGCAGGCCTGCTTGGGATTTCTCTGGGTGCGGCGGTCAGCCACGAGAACAAAATCCCACTGCTCGGAGGCCTGGGTCTGGAGGTAGGAGGTGTGAGGCTGGGGCTGGCACAGGGCCCGGGGGCGGGGGAGGGGGACCCAGCCTGGACGGGGCCGAGTGGAGACTCACGTCACCAGCATTGATCTCCATCAGCGGGATGCTGTCTCCTTCAGTCTCCACCAGGATCTGGAGGCTCTCCTCGGCCTGGGGTAGAGAAGGGTGGCGCTCATTCCTGAAGAGGGGCACCCTCCCAGGCCGGGCACCGAGAGGGTGCCAGCACCGAGGAGCTAAGAGGGGTGAGACGTGAAGCGGGGCTGCAGGAAACCGAGTGAATGAGGAGGTAGCTCCAAGTGGGGCTCGGGGCTGGGACCACAAGGCGATGGCTGGAGAGGCCCCAGGGGCTCCCGCAAAGGTCTGTTGAAAAATGTAAACAAACGGCTTCTCAAATCTTTGAGAAAAGACAAGCAGCAAATAGGCACTTCACAGAAGAGGCGTGCGGAAGAGCGCTCAGGAGGTGAAGAAGCGGGAACTCCAGTCAGGAAAACACGGGTCAGGTGACTGGGGACGTCACCTTCTACCCATTTCGTTATTGGCATTTTAATGGCCCGACAGCGTTGAGCAGATTCCACGTGCACGACTTTGGGAAATGAAGCTGAGCGTCCTAGACTGTGTCTCCGGGCCCACCTACCCCAGAACACAAGGACCTTTCCTTGTGCTCATGGTGGCATATTTCATATAAAAACCGTGAAGATGACCTGGATTCCCACCAGCGGGTGGATGGACAAAGATGTCTGCACACGCTGGAAATCACACAGCGAGGACACGAACAGGCTGCCGCCGCACACGGAGCCCTGGGGACCAACGTGACACGGCTCTGAGTTCAAGAAAAGCCAGTGAGAAGCCGCGGGAGTAAGTGCTGTAGGCACATCCAGACACAATCATAAATCAGGGGGCAGAATCTGAGGAGGGGGCGGATGTGTGCACAGCCCCAGCCTCTCCTGGGCACCCATTACTGTGGTGGCATTTATGGACATCACGGGTCCTTTTCTCTTCCCCCTTCCTCGCTCTCCCTTGTGGAGTGTGGGCTGGACCTCATGACTGAGGAAGAAAACGTGGGAAAGGGAAGGAGAAGACCCCAGCAGACGGCCCCCACTCAACATGATGAAGGTCTAGGTCACCGTGATACCGTTTAGCTATTAGGGACCCTCTCCCTAAAACATGGAGTCCTGGGTCAGCCTGAGGAAACATCAGACTTTCTCCAGAGCCTGGGCAGACTCAAGAGTCGGATGGCCAAGGGCAAGGAGGGACATTGGGGCGCCTGGGTGGCTTAGTCGGTTAAGCGTCCGACTTTCGCTTAGGTCATGATCTCACGTTCGTGGGTTCGAGCCCCGCATCGGGCTCTGTGCTGACTGCCAGCTCGGAGCCTGGAGCCTGTTTCAGTCTGTGACTCCCTCTCTCTCTGACCCTCCCCTGCTCACGCTGTCTCTCTCTCTCTCTCCTAGAAATAATAAATTTAAAAAAAAAAAAAAAAAAAAGGAGGGACAGAGGGACGCTCACAGACGGGAGATGCCCAAGGGGGCGTGAGGACAAATGGCACGTGGGATCCTGCACAGACCAGAGAACAGGGCAGACACAAATGGAGCAGCTGGTGACATCCAAGTCCAGGCGCCTGTGCCGGGCTCTTGGTTCCGACCAGAGCCCCAGGTGATGGGGCCGTGGCACCGGGGAAGCAGGGTGAAGGGCACAGCGAAGCCTCATGCTGTCTTTATACTCTTCAGGAATCTTTATAGATGCGCTAAACACGCACAGATGGGGAGGGGGTGGGCTCAGGTCTTGCTCACTCCTGGTGAGCAGACAGACAGCAGGCTGTGGGGCAGACGGAGGGACCTGGGCCCTTTCACTGGGGAGCCGGGCAGCCGGGCAGCTGAGGGAGCGAAGTGCAGGAGGCAGGTGACAAGGGCACACAGTCAGAGTGTGTCTCAAGAGGGGGCCTCCACCTGAGATGTGGAGGGACGCTGGCCTTGGAGCCCAGAGCCTTGGTTGCCAACCCTGTGCACCCTCAGGCGAGACTGCCCAGCAGGACACACCCTGCACCCCAGTGTGGCGTGAAGCACGATTCCGGCTGGCAGCTCTCCAGGGAGGCACAGGGATCCCGCGACGTCCCAGGGACCAGGGTGCGGGGGACACTCTGGGCTGGGTCCACAGAGGACTCCACCTCACTCCTGCTGGGCCGGCCAGCTCGGGCACTTCCCACCTACGGTGGCCCCCACTGGCTCGGGGCTCTTGCCACAGCCTCCTGCCAGCCCCCCACCCCCAACGCCCTTCCTGGCTTATGAGCTCCGTGGCCCACACGGTCGGCCTCTGCATCACACCCTCCTCTCCATCCTGCCCACTGCTGGGCCTTCACCCCTGCTGGCCGGCCCACTGTCTGCTCCTTCCCTTCAACAACCACATTCCATCTCACTCAAGACCTGCCTCCGTCAGCAAGCCTCCCTGGACTGCTCCAGCCAGTCTGCCCTGAAGGGTGGCCGGGTAAAATGCAGGCAGCCCGGTCACATTTGAATTTGAGACAAACAACAGAGACTTTTTAGTGTAAGTATGTCCCAGTTATTGCATGGGACACACTTATACCAAAAAAGAAATTTTTAATGTAAAATTCCATTTAACTGGGTATCTGTTTTTTTATTTGTTTCAAAACCTGCAACCCCACCCAGGCACACCAGAAACTATTGGCCCCAGGATGGGACCTGGGTCGGCCCCACTCTCTCTCCCTGTGTCCATCCCAGAAGCCAGGAAATGGCATCAAATGCAACCGCATAATGGCAGGTTGCAAGGCCTCAGATGCCACGGCCTCGCAGGCTGGCTAATACAGGCGACGAAGCCTTTAGCACACAGACGTGGCTTATGGCAACTGAACCTTCTGTCCCATCTTGGACCAGAGGAGAAAACTGCCCTTCACGTAAGTGCAGGGACAGGGAGAGCTGGGCTGAGGAGCCTCTGTCTCGGGGAAGAGAGTAAAGTCTCAACTGGATGGGAACAGGGGCTTTCAGGTCACCAGCACCTGACCCTGTGACCTGCCCACCATGGGGCCCAGTAAGCGTTGTGTTAGACATTGACCCACACGCTGAACAGACCTCATGTGCTTGACTTCGCGCCCTGGAGGAGGCTCACCCTGTCCACCTCCAACCCCAAACTGAACTCCTCTGGCAGATACTGCAAGGAGAGACCCCAACTTTAATGTGGGCCTGAGGCTGAAGAAGAGGCTGGACCAGCAGGGGTGGGAGATGGGACCCCAGGTGGCAAAGGGCTGGGGAAGCCAGACCGGGCAGAACACAGGGGTCCAAGCAGGAGAGGGAGCCTGGGAAGAAGAGGCTCTCCTAGAGGCACCCTCAAAGGCCAGGTGGTGGGGGGGGAGCAGGAGGGTCCCAGAAATGAGGCTGCTGGACCTGATACAGCCCCCGATTCAGACAGCGCCTTTCCCCATCAGAGATATCGCACAGCTTTAGGACAGTTACCCAGAGCCTCTTGGGAAAGGCTGGCTCAACCTCTTCTGGGGACCTGGCATGGGATCTGGACAGCGGAGAGTGATGCCACATAAGGTATCTGATGGACACCTTGATTCTGGCCACCAGACAGACACCCCCCCCCCAGGTCAAAGCTACACTGGTCACTGCCTAGTCACCCCTGGTCACCCCTCGACAATGGCAGGCAGCCACAGGAGCAGTCAGGTCAGGGTCCTCCCCTCCCCTGCTCCAATTTGGCCACCCTCCTCCCCACGGTCAGCCAGGGACCAGGTTCTGAGAATCTGCTTCCCATGTACTCTGGGCTCACCATCCCTGAGGTCACTTGCTGCCTGCAAGTCCCCTCCATGGGCCACAGCTACAGCCATGGCCTCCAGAGCCAGGCTGTCCATCAGTCCATCTGTCCTCCAGGGTGACAGGCCTTTGCAGATGGGGGCTGGGCTTATGTAAAGTCGCCCCCATCTCCAGCAAGCTCCACCTCCGGAACTCTGCGTGTGCCCATCAGGCCCCCAGGCCCCCAGGGCAGAGACAGCGGCTGTCCCTACACACTTGGCCTTGGCGATCCCAACCCAGCAGCGTGCAGAGCCCCCCAGAAAAGGTCTGGGGGGTGCAGGCTCAGAGACCCCATTGTTCTCCTTTTAGTCTTTCCAGCTTCCACCCTCCACAAGCCACGCGCCTAGCAGGCCAGGCCCAGGGCATAACACCGGCCAGAGCGGGGCTCACCCACTGGCTCCAAGTAGCAAACTCCTGGAGACGCCACAGCTCCTGGGAGACATTCCCTCCCCGACGGCACAGTCCTGCCCCAGCCAATCCCTCCCCAGTTCCACCTCTGGGTCACCAGTGAGACGGAGGACACTGGCGTGCAGATGTGACTGCCACCCGGCCCTGGTCAGGTAGGCCGCATGGAGCACACACATGTGACACCCCAGCCGCACAAGGAGCATGTTTGGGCCCCCCTCACCCCCCTCACTCCCCCTCGTCCCCCTCGCCCCCCCTCGCCCCCTCACCTCCCTCACCCCTCACTCCCCTCACCCCTCACTCCCCCTCATCCCCCTCGGCCCCCCTCGCCCCCTCACTCCCCTAACCCCCTCACTCCCCCTCATCCCCCTCGCTCCCCCTCGCCCCCTCACACCCCTCACCCCTCAC